TGGGCTTTCTTTCTCTAGGTCTCTTTCTGTATCTATAAATTAAATTTGGGTATAAAATGTGGGGTTGGAGAAGAATGAAAGCTGAATTGTTTTTTATAAACATGAATAAACAAGCTAGAAACAAACAAGCAAACAAACAAAAAAGCAAACCAACTAAACATCACAGATGCCAAAAGTGAAGAAATAAGAGTCACAGTGGTAGGTGAAAACTAATGCTGTCACGATGCATTGAGCATAAAAAAACTTGGGTTTCAGTCCTAAACTCTAGGGCCTGACATCTTAATGTCTATAATGGTGGGTGATTCACCCCTGAGTCTAGTTAAGGAAGTGGGATTGATAAGGATGGCACTGTGTACAGCTTTACACCTGGAAGGCCTGCCTCAGGTATGAAAAGGGAAACAAAATACCTGTGCTCACCAGCTGTGGAAAAAGCCAGGAAGTTTGCTATCTGTACTGGGCTTTGGATGAAAAATATGAAGTTATCCATAAGAAATAAAACTCTTAGGTCTGTATTTGGTCTGTATACATATATATATATATATTTGTATACATCTATTGCATATATATTACATATGTATACACATATATTACATATATATTATATATATGTGTGTGTCTGTATATACGTATATAACAAGTGTATATATATTACAATCTCCAGAAGGAAAGAAAATAGAAGACAAGCAGTGGTGAAAGATATAGTAACTGAAAAGTTTCCAAAATTAATGGAAAGTTTTAATCCTCAAATTAGGAAACATAGCAAACGCTATTTTAATATTCACATTGTAAAAATACAGACTATCACAAAGAGAGGAAATCTAAAAGCAACCAGAAAAAGTAGCTAGGTTGCATATAAAATAGTAAAGTTAGACTTACAATAGAATTCTCATCAATTGAGACGACATACTTCAAATAGGCTGAGAGGAAATGTTGTGCCCAGAGAAACTACCATGTATGAGTGATTACCACTCACAGAACTTTACTTAAAAAACAACTCCAGGTTATATTTTGGTAAGAAAAATAATTGATTCCGGAAAGATTTTGTAGTATGAAAGAACCAAAGATCAGCAAAATAATTGGTAAATATGTTGTTGGCAGCCTTTAAGAATTACTGACTAAAATAAAAAGCATTAATTTCTAAAGGAAAACAGGAAATAAAAAGAAAACATGATAAATATGCAAAATGGGATGGTATAAATAAGTCCGAATACTTCATTAATTACAAAAAGCTGGCATATAAAATAAATAGTAATTCAAAAATGCTACTTAATCAAGCATAGCTTATTATGAACATAATAAATGTTATATTAATAATCTATAAGGGTCTGCAATAAAATACAATTAGTTATTAGTCTATTATATGTACTAAGATGGGAATATGGATAAATACATTTCACTAAATTTGGCAGCAAAATGAATTAAAACAAGAATAGAATCTAGTTTGATGTGTATTTATCAGATAATTATATTAACAAAAAAGTTCTGATCTATTAAGTTTTTTTGTACCTTTTAAGTATATTGATATCAATGAAATTAAAAACCTATAAATGTTTTAAAAAGTAAGACTAAATTCAAATTATAATGAAAATTCTTGGAACCTAAGAAAATGTAGCCCTGGATTTCTACTTCAAAAAATTAAATATATTTTAAATTAACAGAAGTTAATGTTAAAAGGCTAAAATTGGCAATTCTACCCCAATACTTAATGATAGTGTGTCCTTTCCTCTATATATTTTA